GGGGGGGGGGAATCCCCCTCCAGGCAGTGGCAAGTTTGTGATGATCCCGCTGGCCCTTGCAGAGAGAACTGTGCCCTGACCTTTGTTTTTAAAGTGGTGCCAGCTTCAGACTGAGCATCCCAGTGGTTTCTGGGCATTGTATAGTGTGGTGGTGCAACCACCTGCCTGTCTGGCAAAGACCTCTGGCCAGGGCAGGGGACGCATGGCCGGGGGTCCCCACACAGCTTTCCCAAGCACTGGAGTGTGGTTTGGCCTGCTGGATCTCCCACGCTCAGCTCAGCCGGAGATCCCTTATGCAGCATATCCCAGTCACAGAGACTCCCATCACTTCCAAATTCAAGGTGTCCTCCTGCTGTCATGACAGCACAGGCCGGCTTCTGGCTTTACGAGATTTTCTGAATCTTGTTTTCTTTGGCTAGAGAAACATACTTTGCTGTGCACTTGATGTAACTCTTGGGTTTACCTGCTAGGGGACGGACAAGACAGTTGAGTGTCATGCAGTCTTCTGACAGCAGCAAGTGTATGGAAAAAATATCTATGTTTTCCTCTTCTTTACCTGCTGTCTGAGGATTAGGTGGTACTTGATGGATGTGCTCATTTTCTTAGATGAAAGCTTCTCGTGTGTCTTGGGGCTGAGCACTGTGAGGAGGAAGACTGTGTTGCTGTTGTTGGGGGTTTCTCTCTCTAAGTGTGTATATGTTGAGGTGTTGTAAGGTAGGTGTGGTAGTCGTACCGAATTTATTAGCTTATTAAGCATTATAGAAACAAGCACATATTGAAATTATCCTGGTCACTTTAATTGCTAATGAATGCAATTATACTTTGAGGGAGTTATTAATGTCTTCTCCTCACCACTGCAGCACACCTTTGTTCGGCGAAAAAGAACTCCTTCATTTCGTGCATGCCTTTATTTCCTATACCGGGGGTCTGTTAGTTGGGGACTTTGTAAGGAAATTTCTCTAACGGTTGCTTTTGTTTTCCTGGTGCAGGCAGTGCAGCCTGAGGAGCTCAGCTCACCCAGTGGATGTGAAAGCAAGACAAACCACGATGCAACAGATGCAGGAGAGACAGCGAGGTCAGCTGGTGGAGACAGCAATGTCGCTTTGAGCTACCCCAGCCTCCATCTCCATGCGTACAGCATCGAGAGCATGACAACGTTTCCCAATGGCTGTGGAAATGGCACCACCGTTACCTGCGTAGTTATGGATAATAAAGACCCCCAAAACCAGACTACCTGTGTCAGTCATAACGGGGGTTACAGCACCAGCAACAGTCATGAGGAGGAAATTCAAGAGGATAAGCTCAGCCCTTCCAAAATCATGCGCTTTTTCACCACTCCTCGGAAACGGGCTAATTCCAGCTCTGACAGGCCTCGTTCTCTGGTTTTGATGGGCAACTCGACCACGTGGAATGCTTTGTCTTCCATCAGAAAAATGGGATCTTTCAAGAAGTTGAAATCTTCTGTTCTCCAAGGAATTCAAACAAGGGAATGCTCAGACGTCTTAAATGAGAACAGCGTAGGCAAACATGGTTCAAACGGGGCAGTGGTGAGAGTTCAGACTAACAGATATTCCTATTCGGGGCCTCTCCATGATTTCCAGAACGCAGTGGATTGTTTAGCTTCTGACTGCTCTGATGCGGAGGAGAGCGATGAGTCTTTCCTGAGGAATACTCATCGCTCACGCAGCATCAGGCGGGCTTACGGTGCTGGCCGCATAAACTTGCTAGACACGGATAAAGTTCAGAGTCATCACAACTGTACTAGACCAACATCACCTGTCATTGCAGAGCCAAAGATCTGTGAAATTTTGGTGAAAGACTCTGAAAACAACAGGATCATTTATCGGAGAAGCAAAAGTTCGGATAATTTGAACTTTCTGAAAAAAAGCTCATTCAAACGGAAGTCCACCTCAAACCTCACTGACCTCAAGGTTGCAAATGAAAAACAAACGCCAACAAGGACTGTGAGTGTTACTTCTGCTGACTCGGACAAAACCAGTGGGAACCCTGAGAGGAGATCCAAGCGATGGAAGAGCCCTATCAGGGCAAAGGATTTTGACCGAGTTTTGAAGCTTGTCAGTAACGTTACAGATGTTGCATGGAAGAAGGATGACCCCAAGAGCGCCGCTCCTTCTCCCACTGAGCAGTCCCAGAGAACAAGGTCAAACAGTAGACTGCATGATGACTACTCCCGCAGGGTTTCCAGCAGCACGGACCATGACAGAAAGAGATGCACCTCCCCAGTATCTAGTCCAGACTCTTCCTTGCCGGGAACACCTTGTCTGCAAAGCCCCACAGTTGCTCAGGATAAAGAGGCTGAAATGAATGTAGCTGTTGCTGAAGACAAAAGCCTCAGGATGTCATCAGGTATCCCAGACTCTGATAGCTTATCACCCACGCTGAATGACATTAGTCCATTTCCCAATGAAGTGTTTTATTCAGACTCAGATGAACCAAAAGTTACACAGCAGTTTACACATGAAGCTGAAAACCCTCACATTCCGGTCAGGCCGACTGCTCCAAAGCCTCAAAGTCCCACTGCAGAGAAGGTCAAGTGCGATATGAATTTCCAGTGCCCAAACCATCACAGCACGTGTTCGCTGAGCTCATCAGAGAGCGAGGAGAGAGCCGAGGTACCAGGTCTGAAGCTGGGCAGGAATCCTGTTTGCTTCCAGGACTCGGTGCAAACTGTGTACTATGATGATGGCAATGAAGACAGTGGCATAAGCAGTCACTCTCAGCTGAGCCTCAATTTAGCCTCTGGTGCTGAAGAGAAAAAGGAAGAGGTAAGAAAGAAAGCAAAATCCTTTACAAGCTCTGTGTGTGTGTATATATATATATATCAAGTTTTATATTTATTAATGCAAAACAATGCAAACTAACCTGAATACTAATGGCTACTGCAGCTTGTTATTGCTAAAATATGCTGACAACAATTATTTCCTTTAATATATTCTCTTTGGATGTTAACATGGAATTATTTTTTCTTTGTGCATTAATATCAAAGAAAGTTTTGGCAGCAAAGCTATTCATGTACATTTTCAAGGGCAGCTTATTGCACCCTGCAGATACTCCACCTTGTCATGTGGTTTTGTCAGATTTTACCAGCCTAAGCAGGGTCTGGCTGTGTTTCCTTCCAAGCTTGAAAGGTCTCTAAAGATTCTGTATATTTTAAAGTAGCGTTGATTCAGTGTAAAACACTTTGCCTGTGGAAGCCTTGCAGAATGTGGTAGCACTTGTAGAGCAGTGTGGCGTGAAAGATACAGTATAGAGGTTTAAGCATTCAGTTGTGTCCGATGTTTTCACTGTGCAATGATGGCCATGCTGAGGGTAAATTATTTGGGTATTTATTTGCCTCCGAATTTCAAACAGCAGTACTTTACATGCTGGACTGAGTATGTTGCTACTAATATTTTGTGAAGACACCAGTGCTTCACTGCACCTAATGCATGATTTCATACCCCCACTAGATGGGTAGATGTGCTGCAGCACCTGCAAGGTAAGTTCACGTATTAACCCTGTGCTTATATGTAAAACACTGTATGAGCTGGCACTGGACCAGTTGCAATGATTTGGCAGTGTTGGTGCAGAGCTGTCATACGTGTCCTGCACCCATTTGAGATGGTGTGGCCCCCCTCAGCCCCAGAAATGTACACTAATGTGGTTTTGAGCTACTCGGGGTGAGGCAGCAGAGAAAGGTTAGCTATTCATTGGGAAAAATACACTGGGGCAAAAATCCCTCTGGATCTGTATGAATATGGAAGCCATTTACTGAATAAAGCTGACGTATCTTCTAAGCCACCTCAGTTTGACTAAAAGTATCTTATACCTCAGGTATGAGATAGACAAAGGCAATTGTTGCAGCTGCACAAGCTTCAGCCTTTCATGTTGTAAAGTCTTACAATGTCTGTCAAGCCATCTTTTAAAAGCCTGGCATGGTTTTTGCAAACTAACTGTAAATGGTTACAGAGCTTCTCAATATTGTCCTTCTGCTGGAGAAAAGCGAGTTTGTTTACTGTAGTGCTTGCAGCTATGGTAAGATTGGAAAAATAGACCCAATGTGTATAAATGTTGGGGTGCTGAGGTTATTCCGCTTCTGGAGTCCCAGAGTTGCCACAGCCATCCATCTTTTCCAAAACTCTCACTTAAGAGCGTACGTGAGATGTGTTCATGCTGCCAGAAGAGGAGAGAGCCCTAGTGTGGACATACGTCAGTTGTATTTCTTGGGAATAAAATGGAAGTAGAATTAATGCTACTCATCTACCATCTAGTGGTGATCTGTGATCACAACCCAAGAGAGGTTCAGCTTCAGCTTGTCCCTCCCCTTGGCTCTGACAAACCAGTACAGTTTTTAAATGAATGTGTACATTGGGCGGATAAAAGTTACTGCAGTTTTAGTTTTAACACCACATTCTGTTATTATCTAGCATGCAATTTAAACTTTCTCTTTATACTATAACATATTTTAGGTTAATTGTGAGTGCCTTTTGGTGCTCGCTTCAGTTGTCTAAAGTATGGAGCGTGCACTGGTGGCGGCTCTGGGTTTGTGTAGTGGGCAGGGGGCCGGTGCGGGATGGAGCCCTGCACGAGATGAAGGAAATGGTGGCTGGGGGGGTGGGCTCCTTGACTGCGAGGGCAGCAGCCAGGGATTGTAGCCCTCTCCCTCTGCTGTGGGCACTGCCTGGAGCCCTCTGTGTATGGCAGAACAATGGCGGCCACCCAAATGGTGCAGCTGCATCCAGACCCTCTCTTCTGATCCAAAAAAGCAAAGTTTTTGGAGGCAGCAGCTGTGGATTGGAAGCAGGAGCTGTGCAGGACAGGATTTATTTTTGTCTTACTATGCAAGGGGTGTAAACTCTGTCCTCTCTTTTTTCCATGCCTGCTCCTCATGCCATACGTAACCCTAAAGCTGTGGCACTCAGAGTGACTACAAAACAGGGAGAGTGGTATGGTTTCTCTCCGCCATTTCTTTGGAGGGTTTCATTGCACATTTCTTCCTCCTTTACAGCATACGTCCCTCAGCGTGGAGGTAACTTGGTATGAAAGATACTTATGCCAGGTTATTTTTTAATTGGAGTTTATTTAGCCTGCAGGCACTTTTATGAGTGCCACATGCTCACACAATGAGGTCATTGGGGTTTGAACTTTTGACTACAATTCATTTTTAACTCTATCTTATACCTCCATGTTTCAGAACCGTACCCACCCAGCAAGTTCTTCCTGTGACAGTCAAGTGTTTGGTTCATTCTCAACTGAGATGTAATGCTGAGCCATGCAAATCCCAAATTTCATGTAAAAGCCAGTGTGTATTCCAGCCCAGCCACTAAAATCTCTGTGGCTTGGAGACATATTTCAGTACGAAGCTTACAAGGTGCTAAGCGGGTCAGGTTCAAACGGCTTCTTTCAGGACTGGCTGCTATAGCTGGAAGCAAATCTACTTTATTCCCTTACTCACTCATCTAGTAGATTAGTTGGCAAATGAAGTCTGTGGAACTTGGTCCATCTCTGTATTTTCCCAAATGTGGAAATGAAATATTCCTACCTTGCATTTCCCCAACACCATAAAGCTGATTTTGCAGTATTCACACAAGGGTGTCTATCCATTTACCTGAATTGATGTTTTGGGGATTTTTTTTCTATGTGATTCAGTCTTGAGAACCTGCAGCTTCCGTCACTTTGTTGGTTTCACCAAAATGGAAGATTTGGACTGGAGCAGGGGAAGTGTTTGGCCTTCTCGGCTGTTGGCCATGCTAGAGGTTGCTTCCCAGGGAAGAGCTAATTACGTGCAGCCTGCATCCATGCCTCAGCACTTCTTAAGCTGCAGTGGTGGGAGTCACCAAAGCCCGTCGGTGACAGCCCATGCTTTCCAAGTCTCTGCTTTATACCACTGCCACTTATATTCAATATGTTGCTTTCAAATAGCATCAGGAGATGATTAAGTATAAGGTTGCATTTGGGCTGTTTTGTATAGTCTTTACTTTCCTGAAGAGCCCCATGTCACCATAAATAAGAAAAACTGCAACCCTTTGCTTTGGACTGGCACCTATCAGCTACTAAGGCTGCCTAAACAAAACACTGTTCTGAATTAGTGACAAAAAAGACAAATCAAGTTATTTGACATTTTACCTAGTCTTTCACAAGCTCTTAGAGCACTTGCTGGCATCTGGCTTTACAGCACAAGACATTTTATTACTTAAATACCTTATCTGCATGACTATAAGTGAATGATAAATTATAGTAAAGAGGTAACTCTGATGTAACTAGGGTTGAGTCACATTTTGTTTGCAGGCTGTATGTCAAGTACTCTAAGACCTGGCTGTTGACTCATTTATGTTTGTGCCATGCAAAAGTCAGTGGCCCCAACTAATCCACATTGTGCAGTCCCTAGTGCTCAGCTCTTGGCAGAGTTGAGCTCATCTTTCCCGTACAGGTCTCTGGGCTCTGAACATTGAGCACAGATGGCTTAACCTGGGGGACAGCTTATGGAGGAGAAGAGGAAGAAGAGCTCTATGGGTGGAAATGCAGAGAGGATTCAGCTCTGTCCTCACTGTTCATCCTCCTGATTTCTTGCTGCTTCAGAATGTGTCTTCGCAGTGAAGGACCAGAGGGTGGTGGCTGGATGTGGTTGTGCTCAATACCCGCAGGGAGCATGCAGCAGCCAGGAGCTGAGGATGGGCATCTTTGGTACCTACCGCAAGCTCCAAGGATGGGCATCCTTTGTACCTACCGCAAGCTCCTGAGCACTGTGGGGCTGGGCATGAGCACACCTGCTGGGAGTTAGCTGGTTTCAGCTCTCTGAACTTTTTTTTTTTGGATTTACTCACCTCTGGTTCATCCACATGCAATTTAGAGTGTGGCTTAACCTGTGTAACTGAAAATGTGTTAAACTGTGAAGGGTGATTAGATGAAGTAAATAAAGGTGGGAACTTTTAAAACTAGATTTACTTCTACGGGGCCTGTAATTTGGAATGAGGACCCGTAGTCTAGTGGCACTCTGGTCTTGCTGTCCACAGGGCCTGGGGACAGAGCAGCAGAGCACTGTCAGGCTCTCAGCATCTCTGACAGCAAAATGAGGTTTTGATTAGACCGAGTGACACTGGATTTACATTTAACTCTCTGAGCTGCTCTGCATGAGTCAGGATATGTTCACACAACATCTCCACCCTTCACAGTTGCTCAAAAAGCAACTTCCAAGAGTGCTTGCCCAGAGCTAAACCAGAAACCGCTGTGCATTGCTACAAACCCAAATTGCAGAACTGATCACTGAAATGATGCAGAGGGGAGCCCTCAAAGGACGCGTGTATCTTCCCATTGCAGTAAAAACTCTTCCAACTCGGTGCAGCAGAGCTGCCTGCCATTCAGTACAGGCTGTAATCATTGGTTGCTTCATTCTCTACTAGGAAGAAGAAAAACAAGGCACTGCTGACAGTAGTCTGAATTCTGGTTCAGGTTAAATTTTAAACTGAGTAACTGCAGTGCTGAATAAAATTGGCTGTTCCTGAAACCTCCCCATTCCAGGGGTTATTGTCATCCCTGAAAAAGGGTCTGTGGATGCTGAAAGGGGAGTTCAAATGGACTCCACTGCAGTTAGGCTGGGCAAGCTGCTCCCTTTCCATATTGCGTATGTGCTCCTCTGCCTTTCCACAGTGTCTGCTATTTAGTCTGCTGTAGCTCTCCTCTGACACCTCAGTAATACCCAGGCACTGCTCACCCTGGGATCAGGAGTAATGGTACCCCAGAGAGCGGACCATTGCTTCTGGCCATGTAATTCAGTTTTTACATCGAG